AAAAAAAAAAAAAAAAAAGAAATAAATAAAACGTTAAAAAAAAAAACACAAGTAAATGAACAGGTGAGGTTGGTTATAACTATATCTATAGATATATATATTTTTATGTTTATTTTTGAGAAGCAGTGAGAGACAGAGCACAAGGAAGGGAGCAGAAGAGAGAGAAGGAAACACAGAATCTGAAACAGGCTCCAGGCTCTGAACTGTCAGCACAGAGACCGACGCGGGGCTCGAACCCACAGACTGTGAAATCATGACCTGAGCCGAAGGCAGACGTTCAACCGAGCCACCCAGGTGCCCCACAATATATTTTAAGATATTCAAAATATCATCATTTCAGAAACAAGACTCTATTCTTTATGTTGTAGCCAGCCTTTGAAACTGGGAGCTCACTGCACACTTGCATCACGCCTCCTGCAAACGCACCCCCTCCCCCCCCTCCCCATGCCGTCCCCCCTCCCCCCCGCCCAGCAGCTGGTGTCACCACACACCCACCGGCCGGCGTGAGCACAGACATCTGTCGGGATGCAAAGTTCAAACAGCAGATTCCAAGCAGGGAAGGTAAAGGGTTTGTGAGCAGGTGTCCTCCTCCTGAGAGGGAGGTCACTCCTCCACACCCACCTTCCAAAGACCTGGGTGCCCAGGCACGGCCGGAGCCTGGCAGCGGCTGAGCCCATGCTGGGAGGCCCGGCGCTGCCCCAGGGACAACAGAGAACACCTCCACCAGGGCTGGATTAAACTCATCACCACAAATCTGCACAAGAATCTGAGAGCTGCCCCTTTCCGAAGCGGAAAGGGAGGCTCGGGGAGCCAAGTGACAGCTCGCAGGCAGAGTCAGGGACGGAGCCGTGTCCCTGTGCACATCCCCCAGACCATCGCAGCTACTCAATGCTCGGAATGTTCCAGCTGCCCACCCTGCAGTGCACTCATCCACGGAGCAGTCCTGAAGACACTCAGGACAAATCTCACAGTCTTACACACACTCGCTTTCAGGAACAACAAAGCCAGAGTAAATGGAGACGGGGACCATCTCCTTACTTCTCATCACCCTCTGAGGCACATACATAAATACACGCAAATACAAATACCTGAGAGAGAAAGACTGGAGGAGGTGGATTCTCCCCAAATTCATCTGTAACAAGCACAACCGCAACCCAAATCCCAGCAAATGCCTTAGTCCTGAAACCGACAAGCTGATTCTAAAATCCACAGGTAAAGGCCAAGGGGCCACAAGGTACCAACACAGCCTTGCAGCCTTGAACAACAGGGCTGGAGGACGTACACACAGACAGTACCACTGACAACACGCTGGTGTACAAGACTGTGTGGTACTGACCCGAGAATGGGCAGAACAGCATGCACAGTCCAGACACAGCTCCACACACACTCAGCCACCTCACAGGACCAAGGTGACACCAGACAGTGAGGGAAGGAGGAATCTTTTCAAAACTGAGGCTAAAGTGACTGAATACCCATTTGGGAGATGACCTCTACCTCACACCACACACAAAAAAGTCAATTAAGGGGAGATTACAGATCTGAAACAAACGAAAAACGGAAAACGAAACAAAAGAAACAAACGAAAAAAAGCTTTTAAAGGACAGCATAAGTAAACATCATAATCGTGTGAAGTATGCAAAGATTTCTTTCTTTCTTTTTTTTTTAAATGTTTGTTTTTGAGAAAGCGGGAGACAGAGAGCACAAACGGGAGGGGCAGAGAGAGAGGGAGACACAGAATCTGAAGCAGGCTCTATGCTCTGAGCTGTCAGCACAGAGCCCAATGTGGGGTTTGAATCCATGAACAGTGAGATCATGATGTGAGCCGAAGCTGGAACTGAGCCACCCAGGCGCCCGAATAAGCAAAGATTTCTAAAACAATATATAGGTGCTAGCCACAAAACAGGAATGATGAGCCGGGCCACAGCAAGACTAAGCACTTATATTCCTCAAAGACACCAGCAGGAAAGTGAAAAGGCAAGCTACAGAGAAGGAAGCACATCCCTGTAACACACATCCCAGAGAAAGGACTCCTATCTAAAATACGTAAAGAGGCTGGGGCGCCTGGGTGGCTTAGTCGGTTAAGCGTCTGACTTTCCCTTAGGTCATGATCTCACGGTTCGTGGGTTTGGGCCCCGCGTCAGGCTCTGTGCTGACTGCCAGCTCAGAGCCTGGAGCCTGTTTCAGTCTGTGACTCCCTCTCTCTCTGACCCTCCCCTGCTCACGCTGTCTCTCTCTCTCTCTCCTAGAAATAAATAAAAAAACATAAATAAAATAAAATAAAATAAAATAAAATAAAATAAAATACGTAAAGAGGGGCGCCTGGGTGGCTTAGTCGGTTAAGCGTCTGACTTTCGCTCAGGTCATGATCTCGCGGTTCGTGGGTTCGAGCCCCGCATCAGGCTCTGTGCTGACAGCTCAGAGCCTGGAGCCTGTTTCAGAATCTGTGTCTCCCTCTCTCTCTGACCCTCCCCTGCTCACGCTGTCTCTCTCTCTCCTAGAAATAAATAAAAAAAAATAAAAAAAAAATAAAAAAAAAATAAAAAAAAAAAGGCTACAATACTCTGTGGTTACTGTTTTTTTTTTTTTTTAAGTTTATTTACTTATTTTGAGAGAGAGTGTGCGCACAAGTGAGTAGGAAGGGGGAAGAGAGAGAGGGAGTGAGCATCCCCAGCAGGCTTTGCACCGTCAGCATGAAGTCCAATGTGGGGCTCGAGCGCACGAACTGTGAGATCGCGACCTGAGCAGAAATCAAGAGGGAGGCACTCAGGCACCCCCGTATGGTTACTCTTCAAAGCACCGGGTAGAGTGGTGCCGTCCTTAGGAGCCAGGGCGCCCGCCAGGCTGTGGGCAGGCGTGCTCGCAGCCCAGTGTGCAATACTTCAGTTAGAGAGAAAAACCCGAAAGCCCTGTGAGGGCCAAACAAGAAGTGAAATCAAATAAAACAGGCAAAACAATAAAAACAAGCCACTTGCAAGGCCACTAAGCATGAGGGCTGAGGGCTTCCCACATGGCAAAGGGCAAACTGTGCTCTCATTCTTCTCCACGTGGGCCCCCCGGAACCTGTGGGACCCCGCCCCCTCCCGTCTTCAAGCGCAGGGGGCACCGGGAGCAAGGGCTGGCAGGGTGGGAACGGAGGTGGGTAGGGGTGCGGTAAAGACAGGCAGGTTCTGAGGTGCTGCTGGGAGACGTGCCCTGAATGTGGTGCCCTGGACTGGTCTCCAAGATCTTCAGTGAGAAATCCAGGATCAGCGTTCTCTCTACAGCCAAGGAAGTTGTGCAACCTGGCCAGCCAGGGTCATCTGTGGCCGGCAGGGGGAGCACCCGCAGGCAGGGAGGGCCGCGGGGGCAGGTGCCGGCTCAGGGCGCGGGCGTGGACTCGTCCCGCGGTGACACGGTGACTGTGACGACGGCACGACCATGACGGCATCGCCCCGCACAGCTAGACAGCAACCCCTCCCCACCCAGACCCAATCTGCCCTCTGTCAGCACGACGGCCACCGGGCGGTGTCTTGCGAACAACGCCCGTGCCGGGCGGGGCGGGGCACCCACCTGCCTGGGAGCAACAGCAGGGCGCCGTGGCCCAGCTCCTCAATGGAGTCCAGGCACTCGGAGGGCACAGCTGAGCCGCCGGCGCTGTCGGCGTCCCCTTCGGTCTGCAGCTCAGGGTGCACCAGGGTGCTGGTGTCCTCGTCGGTGAAGGTCTCACACTCACTGTAGGTGCTCTCGGACCCCATGTACGCGCTGTCCGTCACCTCGTTGGCCTAGGAGAGAGTGCCAAGGGTCAGCCCCACGCCCCGGAACGGTCACGTTTCGGTAAACCCCGACGGCCCACACAGTGTTCTGCTGCGGGCCCTGAAGACACGGCGGGGCGAGACGGCCTCAGGCGGTATCCCCACAGCACCTCTAAGCAGAAATGTTAGCTTACAAAACAATCCAGTATGTTTGAAAATGGAAACACAGGGGCGCCTGGGTGGCTTAGTCGGTTAAGCGTCCGACTTTCCGACTTTCGCTTAGGTCATGATCTCGCGGTTTGTGGGTTCGAGCCCCGCGTCGGGCTCTGTGCTGACTGCCAGCTCGGAGCCTGGAGCCTGTTTCAGTCTGTGACTCCCTCTCTCTCTGACCCTCCCCTGCTCACGCTGTCTCTCTCTCCTAGAAATAAATAAAA